ATTGTTACGGAATAAATTAATGCAACGTTTTTATTGGTCAATACAATCAAAATGAAAGGAATTCTTTTGAGCGTTGTGCACTTTCAGGTCCACAAAAACATATAACAAAGGAGTCTGACGGGTTTCATAACCATTCCACTCAATTAACTATGGGCAGGAAGAGTGATAGAAAAATATAGAAAGAAAACCGCAAAAATAAAGTGGTGAATTATATTTGCCCGATATTTCGGTTTGCAACGCAAACCTTCAACGGGGGCTATAAAAGGAAAATGAATTCAGATACATGATGAACGTTACATATGAGAGATTTGAATACATAGTAAACAGAAAATGATAGGCTACTAAAAGATAAATGTCACCAATTGAGTTCACGTCTATTTATACCATGTGTTGTCATAGCTTTGTTGATGAGGCCGTGAGCCTTGCGTGCCTTTCTGACAGAGTCAGTCACGGTTGCTACGGATAAGAAGGACGTCTTTGATAGAGTGATTGGCTCGATTAAAATGTTCGGAGACAGGAGCAGGATTAGCAAAGTGGCCATAGTTGAGAATGGAACGGCGATGCTCCCCAAAGCGTTTGTGGAGATGGCGCTTGGTCTCCCCAATGTACTGTTTGCGGCATATTTTGCATTCAATGAGGTATAGATAAGGTCTTTGGATTCACTGTTTAAGGAGTCATGTATACATCGCTTCTCTTTGGTGGAGGTGAAGGAGTGGTTGGCTTAGCCTTGCTTTAAAAACGGACTGGTAAGGCAGCGTGGATGATTGCATTTTGTTAAGTGCTTCTAAACTTTTAGGTCACGAAGGCTGGGACTCCTTTTAAAAGCAACGATGGGAGGAGAAGGAAATATTTGTTTGCATCGATTGGATGATTGAAGAATGTTTATATTTTTCGGACAGTGATCGGAACGTTGAGAAGAACTGGATTATACGTGATGACAAAGGGAGTTCGGTTTGAGTGGTTGTTCTGTGGTTGTGGTTTCAAAGTTTCTTGACATGGGATGGCACGTACCCGGTTAATTTTCTTTTTCAGAAAGTGGCAGCTGTATCCCCGTAGTTCTGGAAAGTTTATAAGTTCATTGCAACGGTTACTGAAGAAATGGTCAGTTGAGCAGATGCGACGCAGACGAGGTAAGGTGAGGCTGAAATGGACGGTGCGCTTTGTGTGAGCAGGATGGCAGGAGGTTTTCAGAAGATATTGGTGCTTGTCTGTGGGTTCAGTTTGTGTGGAGATCAGTTTGTATTTGGCTGTTGTTAAGATGGACTTGTGCATCTTGGAAGGGAAGACTCTGGTATAAAGAATCTGAATATTATTGTGTAAACTTGATTGCTGGATGGACAGAATGTACATGATGTAGGAAATTCTTGAAGAAATTCATCAGGCTAGTGAAGTTATTAAGTGATTTAATGATGTAGGAAAGTCGACTTAATGATGTAGGAAAGTTTTAAGGTTATCTTTTCATTCTGTCCACACCATGAAGATGTCATCAATAAACCTCCACCAGACGTAAGGTTTGAAAGGGGCGTTTTAATTTCGTTTGGATCGTCCAACACGTTCTATCCGTCTGCTTCAGATGGATACTAACGTCTGAAGATCGTCTCCGGGACAAACATTGATCTTCATATGCGAAAAACCAAACTAAACAAATTGTTGGTGTTGAGGAATATTTTTTGTAATAAATTAAAAATTTGTATAATGATGTATACAAGTTACCGTCGTTCCTGAAAAAATTATTAAATTAAAACTGCTTTTTGGTCTGATTCAGTCAGGATTGGTTCGACGCGTCCTAAGCTCGACGTCTGACCCAACAGACGATCTTAACTTAATTTAGACCGACCCAAACTTGAGTGTGGTTCGTCTCACGAGAAGTTCGAATAGAAATCACGGTTACAGACGACATAAGACTGCATACATGTGTACGGTGTATGTTCGCGGTTCATGACTGTACGGCTTGCAACTTTCCAAGGAGGGTTGCCAAGAGTAAGAAGGCTCGCTCTTTTGTGGTCTAAAACTCTCGGCAACTCTCGATCGATTAAAACTGTTCTGTTAACTGTGAAACAACATCAGCTCCAGACGACAATGAAATCTCGAGAGAAATCGCGTCACCCATCGTTCGCATTTGACCCTAGGCTTGACCAAGTAAATACTAATGCGGGCAACATTTTTGTTAGTCTTACACGCGTTGAAAGTTGCACGTAATTAATGCCATAATTAATGCCATAATAACGCCATAATCTCTTGCAAGCGGACATAGATTCTAAACTATGTTCGTATATTGTGTTCGCCTGAAACATTGTAAGCCATTTATACGGTGTTTGATTTAACACCTGATAAGCCGTGGGAAATTTGGAAAGCGTCAAGCAGTTAAGCCAAACCGATATTATGCTGTGCTTCTGTAAAATTTTAAAATTCCGTTTTAAGAAAAGCTGAGCCCAAAGTTGCCTATAGCCCATGTACGCCGTCTCTCGGTCAATACATTTCGCGACGTATCGAGACGAACGGGACCACGTGACCCGAAACATATAGACTGTGCGGACAAGGTAAAGCCGAACGACGTAGCCGATTCGTCATTCCGCCAGCCTGATTGGTCATTTTTAAAAAATGTGAGTCAGGTAGCGGGATTTACTGGATTCAACCCGATTATAGAAGGACCGAATAGATTTTTCGGGATCCGGGATTTCCCTGTGATGAGGCTCGGGATTTTAATGGAAAATCGGGGGGAGATTCGGGATTGAAAGCATGCACGGAAGGTGGGCCGCCGAAAATATATATCGAGATTAAGGATTGAACGAAATTTTTGGTCGGGATTACGGGATTGAAAAACCCTTCAGGGGAACCTCATGATACCCACAAGACCTATCGGTCGTTGACGTGAGGAGGAATTGATGGCGGGTGAAGAATCCGGAGGGATACATACTACCATATGTGCAATATATAGGTATGTGCCGCTAGGAACGGTATGGTTTTGCAAGCAACTTGGTCTGCGATAGGGTGTTGAAATTTGAGACTTTGGGTCTAGAATAGGGTCTCATTTTTCAGGAAACTAATCAATTAGTAGTGTACACGTGGGAAACCACCGGTAACTGGCACTCGAAAAATTAAAATCAGCCAATCTTAATTTACCCGCAACTCAGTTTAATAGCAAAGAAAGCATCGACCTGAGTAATTGCTGAAAAAAAGCGGCTCAAGTATAGGGAGGTATTTGGGTAGCAAAATTCAGCCAAGCTAAGTCTCGTATAGGCTAAGGCTACTGGGGTCCCTGCGGCACATCACTACTGAAATATCTCTTCTATAAAGTACCCTCCCCCCCGCCGGGGAGTGGACGAAGAATTTTCGAGTACGCGACGTGTCTTTCATACCGCCTAACATGATGCAACCCATGCTGTGTCAGTGCTGTTAAGTAATGAAGATAGTGTGCGTTGAAAGGCATAATTATTATTTCAAAGAGTAGAGTCTGTTTTAAGATTCTAAAATGCTGGCTTTGCTAACAAATTCCTTCATTGAAAGAGAAATTTGGACCAAAACGACTTTTGTCGCAACATATTTCTTCTTTTCTTTCAATTTCTGTGTTTGATTCTCTGATCCAAACGAGCAAACACTTTCTATGTACCCGAAAGAGGAACTATGTCGTTTTAACAACATTCCATTGTATCACTTCCGGTCAATGCAAGTACTTATGGCATTGACATTCATTTTAAAGATTTGAATCAGATTATTTAGAGATACTCACAGTACGATGGGTCTTACTCCTTGTAAGCCAGATTATGTGATGAAGCAGCTCGGTCTACCGTAAAAAAGAGGGCTTCCACAGTGCATAGCTAAAGTAGGTTAGAGAAACTATAATTAGTCGTCAAAACAATATTCAGCGGTGATATTGTATAATCATTGATAGAGTACACGTGCCAGTACTCGTGACGTGATTTCTTTGAGATTGCAATCTAGTATTTAGACCCAGTCACTTAGACAGGACAGACAGCTAAGTAAGTAGTTTTTATCTCCAAGGCTTTTAGTTGATGTTACACGGGACGATTCGCAACGACGATTTTAGCCCAACACAACGTTGCGCATCCATCGCTGGGACAATGTTGTGACCAATCGAAACAGTGTTGAAACGCTGTGTTGCCCTAAAAATCGCCGTTGCGAATCGTTGCGTGTAACATCACCTCTCGATCACACGGCACTGGAAGAAATTTCGAGCGGTTGAAAAGTCGTGCCTTTAAGTGCTTCGTTTTCAAGGAACCATCCTAACGTCCAAAAATTTCGATGAAAATTTAAAAATTTGAATACCTAAACTGAGGCCAAAGTTCTAGCCGGTACGGTCGAAAAATTGACGGGCACGGTGTAAGCAACATGACTGTCTTAATTTTTGAACAGCAAAAGGCGTGGCCGGATGGATGCGTGGTTACTCAGTTGGAAGACGCCATTTTGGATTTGCAAAAGTAGCGCTCTGCGCATGGGCGGAGGGTAAATAAAATGCCACCCGATTCGTCAGTTCCGTAACTGTTGAAAGGTTTGGTATAAATGAAGCGTTAAATTTTTAGCCAGTCGAAAATTCGCCCGGTACGGAAAGAAAGAAAGAATCATTATGAAAGTTAATTTCATTAAATAAATAAACAAATCAATACTTCGGTCAAGCAAGAAGTCTCCCTATTTCCAGCTATGAGATTTTATCATCGTTCCCAACTTGCACATACTCGTGCTATTCAAAGCCCTTTTTACAGTGTCCCTAATCTACAACATGTATTCCCTTCTCTCGCAAGCATAGAAAAGCACATAACAACGATTGTATGAATAAAAATTAGTTTTATTTATATGGATGATTTTATATTAAAAATATTTTGTTTCTCAAATAAGAAACACCATAAATAATTTTCTCAAGGAAACGGACGAGGGTTCAATTGCCACCTGGAGCTAAGAAATTTTTCTGAGTTCTTCTCTCTACACAATTCATTCCATCAAGAGCCATACGGCTCCTGATTCCATTTATTATTTCCTGCCTATAACAAAAGTTTTACACCTTTGAATCGACTGAGTCGTGTCCTTGTGGTGCTAACTTTTGTCGTTGACCTATGTTGTGGTAGCCTGCGTAGCAGGCGCTAGGAAATAAATGGGCGCGAGACAAAACGCGCGCGCGAGGAGACACGCGTGTCTNAGGAAACGGACGAGGGTTCAATTGCCACCTGGAGCTAAGAAATTTTTCTGAGTTCTTCTCTCTACACAATTCATTCCATCAAGAGCCATACGGCTCCTGATTCCATTTATTATTTCCTGCCTATAACAAAAGTTTTACACCTTTGAATCGACTGAGTCGTGTCCTTGTGGTGCTAACTTTTGTCGTTGACCTATGTTGTGGTAGCCTGCGTAGCAGGCGCTAGGAAATAAATGGGCGCGAGACAAAACGCGCGCGCGAGGAGACACGCGTGTCTCCTCTCTCGCGCGTTTTTTTTCGCGCCCATCTATTTCCTAGCACCTGTTACGCAGGCTAATTTCGTGGTGGTGTGGAAATTAGAGATCTTTAGATTCGATGACGCGGACGCCTGTGAAACGAGATTTAACTTTAATTTTTTCGTGTATTCTCCAAAAATAGACACCCCGGAAAGCTTCATTGTACTTTTTTCACCAGAAAAGTCAGCACGGTTATTTTTATTAAAGGAGGTTAAGCCCTCTCCCGATCGCAAAATGGTGAAACTTCCAACTTTTGAGAACTTGTTTTTGCCACTGCGAGATCCTTCTGAAACCCGTAGGAAAATGACGACGGCTTCCACGTTTTTGATTCACACGCCCACCACTGATAGAGAAAATCTCATCCTCGTAGTCCGGCGTTCTCGTCTTAGAATTAAAAGGTCTCCTTTCTTTGCTGTCTCACAAGCGCAACACCAAGGAACTACCAGAAAATTCAATGAGATATTCAATCTATGTCCACAGGGGGAAGATGCACGGAAATTCCTGACGCGATCACAGGTTCTAGTGTGACTGCGAGTCCGGGATCAGACAGAGAGTGTCTCGAATTCTTGGCTGTGAAACTACCCTTGACAAGCTGTCCTCGCTGTCTCTTGTCCGTGCTCAAGGGCGGCGTCTGCGATCCAAGCTGCACAGCTGTACCCGATGCTAACAAACTAAGTTCTCCAACAGACTGAAAGAATGACAGAATTTGTTATTGACACTTGTAGACTGCACAAACAGAGGAAACATCAAGAACCTACGTTCGTTCTACACCAGAATTCTTTTCTTTCTGGTAAAGGAAGCATTCGCTGCGGGCAAAATAGGCCCACCTCGAAGCTCGGATAGCCAATCAGGACAAACGACTCGCTATATCTTGCCCGCTTGAAGACAAAAAAACCCCTCTACTAACTGGGAAACTGAAATAAAAACTAATTCAAAAATAACAATACTATACACAATCCGAAAGTAACTAGCCTAGATAAACATTATTAACTATAAAACTAGCCTAGATGTACAGCACTGTCCTCTGCCCGCAGGATATAAGTGACCCGCAATTTCAAATACTTTGCGTACTTACATTGCTTCGTTGTGACCTGTGTAGTTTAGTCCTTGGCCGTCTGACTTCACTGCTGGAACTTCTGTTATTATTCAAAGTTTGCGACGGCATTGGTGGCTTGGCGCTGACAGGACTAAACGTTAAATTATGTCTGGTAAATCCCTTAATTCCACTCGTGGATTCTGGCAAGCGGGACCCAGACCCGTTCCGACCCGCGGATGACAATCTGGCAAACTGTGTGACCGAAGAGGTGTGACGAGAACTTGTAGGTTGATCAAGCTGCGGGGGTTCGACGGTTGATACATGAATATGGCGCGAATGATCAAGGGTGTTGATTCCAGCTCCACTTGATCTGGAGTAAAAATAGATTTTCCAAAATTAGATTTTTTGAATTAGACTGCCCTAGAATGTCACCGCCCTCTACCCTGACGCATTTTTATTTGATGAACACGCGAGCTGTCGTATGTGTCAAAGCACTTTTGGTAGTCTGGTACTTTGTTGTACCGTGGTAACAAGAGTCTGTAGAGGTTCCAAGCCACAATGACACCAATTTTCTTTCCCATACTTCTGCTTGACCGAAGCTGAAGCTTTTAATGCACCCCAAACACGAATTATACAGGTAACTACACTAACAGGGCCCATCCACAACAGAGTTCAATACAGATATGTACATTTAGGATATGTCTGTAACAAATCTACCGGCATTCTCGGGCCGACAAGTCCTCCATTTCCTCCTCTTGTTATGACGTTAAGAAAGCGAACACTTGAATCTTTGATTTTGGAAAAAGCAGCCGGACTCACCTTGTCTTATTGCTATTTGTTGCCAACAGTCCTGACCCGCTGAGCGTAAAACTACTTGGTAAACTTTTCGCTGAATCGTTTTTATCAGTGAGGGCCTTTAATCTCTGCCCAGACTTTTTATTACCAGCCCCGCCTAAGCCATGACTGCCGATTACTCCAGAAGTGAGATGTCCAATACCAGAGACATCTCTGGACCTTCCATTGGTCGCTGTGGCAGTGATTACTGAACCAACGTAAGAGCCTTCTACAGGGCACTGAGAATGGTTTGTGAGCCAATTATCTATACAGCTAATGTGGAAGGGATGCTGGCACGGAAGAGTTCTTATGCACTGTCTGGCCTGGAATCCTTGTAAACACACACCGCAGGTGCTGCCATCTGTAACAAGTCTGTGTCTGTCTTGCAACACTTGAGTTGGTAGATTGAAGATTATATTGGCAGGAAGTCCTTGCTGGTCAGTTACTTGTCTGTGGTTGGAGGAAGAGTATACCAGCATGGAATGAGAATTACACATCAAGTGAACGAACGAGGAACATTAACTCTCGTTTACTCAATTAACCATAACGCTTAAAATTAAGCACATAGTGCTCAAGCCTGAGAAAACAACCCGCGACATTTCGCGACGCCACCAATACTTTTTCCACGAAATGACGTCATTTCTGATTTCAGCCGTCATTTCGCGGGAAAACCAGTGGTTGTGTTACGAAATGTAGGCTGTTTAAAGGAGCCTCGAGTCAGGGACAAGTTTCTATTACACAGTGCTTGGGCTTGGAGTAAAAATTTCCCCGCAACGTACGGCATGTATGTTCACAAAACACATCGCGTCTTGGGTAAGGTTGAGCGACAAGTTTAGAAACAGAATGGATAGTCAAATTTTGCCCTGGAGTGACGATTTTACTTTTATTTACTCTTATCTGTTGATTATTGATATTAAAGTTTTGAATGGAAATTTGAACGTTTGGGAATCCTTAGGGGAATAATATAACAGTAGTCGTAATCATTTCTCCAGCCTAATGTACGAATACATTAATTTTTACCTGTCAAGTTGAAGCAGTAGTTCATAATCGCCATCAGATATGTCTCGGTTCTGTAAATCGTTTATGACAGCATTTGGCAATGGAGTAATTCTTTGTGCTGCCCGCCAGCGCTCACTTAGTTTCTGCCAAATAAGAAAGATTAATCAGCAGTTCGTTAACATTTTAAAACTTGCATGTATTCAATCAATAACCGTGACCTATTCGAAAAACTCAGTATGGCTGATAAATTTAACAAAGCAAATGTATTCTTTGGTTCTCAGAATAAACAGAAACGGAGTTTTTCAGAGAAACTCCCCCAGCGAGAAAGTGGACGTGAGATTGTAAGCACACTCTTGAAATCCTAAAAAAGCCGAGGTAGCAATATCCTGCTCGAGGCGTTCAGATACAGTTCATGAAGTGGGACAGTATGGAAGAGAAAAACTATTTTATCCTTTCTGTTACGAAATATTAATCGTTTCAAGGCTTTTCCAAGTTGCGGTGAGGCTATTTGTCACTCTAACGTGAACGAAATCGCATGGTGTTACCATTCAAATTAAACCTCTTTGACAAAACCTCTGTTAAGTACTATTTATTTCTAAGGATTTACCAAAAGAAATTTCACTTTTTTGGAGAATTTTTATGTTGGATGCTTTTAGTCTGAGTGAAAGGGTTTTAAAAAATGTCTGTGATTCGCCTCATGTAAGGGAATCCAGATTCCGGAATCCAAGAAGTTTTTGCTTATGTTATCCAGAATCTGGGAAAATTTGCTTGTGGAATCCTGGGCCTTGGAATCCGGAATACAGCTCAAGGAGTCCGGAATTCCACTAACGATTGGAATCCGGAATCCAAGTTCCAAGTTCCAGTGCCTGGAATCCGGAATCCACGCCATGCGGAATCCAGAATCCAAGTCTGTCTTGGATTCCCTTCCGTGCCAGGGCGATACAATTATGAATGCCTTACTTGTCGAAACTGAAAGGAATGCTGGGTGTGGGTATCTGTGGCAAAACATTCATGGCAGAGATGGTAATCTGAACAAACAACGCATCTGAGGAAAGAAGAAGCACACAATTTACATTGAAAAGCATTCTAAATTAAGTGCGAGTCAAGGAGAATGGCATTCTAAACTGCCATGGGAGCCATGGGTAAGGCTGCCGAGGCAAGGTGTCATGGACACTCGGATAAAAGAATTTGGTTTTTAACTGTTAACTTGGAAGTGAACCTAAGTTCATAGATTTAAGGAAGAGAAAAGAAAACAGGGAACACAGGTCAGGAACTTTTGAAAGTAATCCTTCCCACCCCCCTCAACACCCTCTTCCTGTCATCATGGCCTTCACGGGAAATTGTTGTATTCTGTAGTAATCTGACTACTTTTCATAGAGCCNGGAATCCTGGGCCTTGGAATCCGGAATACAGCTCAAGGAGTCCGGAATTCCACTAACGATTGGAATCCGGAATCCAAGTTCCAAGTTCCAGTGCCTGGAATCCGGAATCCACGCCATGCGGAATCCAGAATCCAAGTCTGTCTTGGATTCCCTTCCGTGCCAGGGCGATACAATTATGAATGCCTTACTTGTCGAAACTGAAAGGAATGCTGGGTGTGGGTATCTGTGGCAAAACATTCATGGCAGAGATGGTAATCTGAACAAACAACGCATCTGAGGAAAGAAGAAGCACACAATTTACATTGAAAAGCATTCTAAATTAAGTGCGAGTCAAGGAGAATGGCATTCTAAACTGCCATGGGAGCCATGGGTAAGGCTGCCGAGGCAAGGTGTCATGGACACTCGGATAAAAGAATTTGGTTTTTAACTGTTAACTTGGAAGTGAACCTAAGTTCATAGATTTAAGGAAGAGAAAAGAAAACAGGGAACACAGGTCAGGAACTTTTGAAAGTAATCCTTTCCACCCCCCTCAACACCCTCTTCCTGTCATCATGGCCTTCACGGGAAATTGTTGTATTCTGTAGTAATCTGACTACTTTTCATAGAGCCAAAAAAATTACTCTAAATCTTGATTTGTGAGATAAACCAGTCCTGTGATCCTTAATAGTGCTGACATACACGGTAGATAATAAAGCATGATTTTTGGGATGCCAAGTATCTTAATTAGTGTGGTAACTGTAATATTATATAGCATGTATGTTGAGAAACTCATAACCCAGTGGAAATCTCTTTTATAGACATAATGTACCCTTCTGTGTAAGTTGTCTTATCGGTGTTTCACAGATTAAAACAATATTAACATGTACCAAAGTGCATACAATGTTATGATCAAACAGTGGTCAAACAATATAAGTCATATAGGAAATTATATAGGGCCTGGGTGGACATCAAACAAGAGAGACCACTTTCAGGTACAGTGTATGTATGGCATACCAGTTGTGTTCAAAATTTCTTACCTATAACATTTTCCTGCAATAGGACACACTCTACATTTTTTGCAAGTAGCCCCTAGGTGAAGATCTTGTCTTTCTGCTCTTGTTTTGCGCCGGGATGACTTGTGAAATTCGTCCATCAATTCCTTTTAAAGTATTTAATCTTTTGAGTATTAGTGACCAGGAATCTTACTTTGAATAAATTTTTCAAGGTGTGGTGTGAGGAGCAGGGCATTAACTAACTTAAAAATACATAACTTTGGTAATATACACAAACAACTACAAGTGAAAGATAAATGACTCCGTGTATTATCACATTTAACAATCTGAGAAAAGCTCCTAACCATCCAGAGGGCTTTTTTTTTTTAATTTGCCCCATCATCAAGTTATTTTAATTATGCTGTTTATTTGACCTACACTTGTAAGGGAAACTACGTTGTACAGTTTAGTACCATTATTTTTTATTTCTTTTTCTGTGTATAATTGACCTTACAGTTTTACCAACACAATGATGCTAAACCACTAATTACCACTTTTTTTACAATTTGTGCTTAATTATACAAAAAAAACAGTTACATCACTCATTGTTGGGGATGTAACAAAACATGAACCCATGATCTATGGACCTACTTCATGGACCCAATGGACTACCACTATAGCTGTGGACCACCGCTATGTTTTAAAGATGAATTATAGCAGAGGTCTAAATGAATTTTAGGAACCTTCATTGGACAAAACTGCTGTCAGTTTA